GTGGGCATGGCTGCTCTCTGGCTGGTCTGCAGCAATGGCAGGTCAGCTGGTTTGCTTGCAGTGCTGGTGGGGGGCAGTGAATGGCAGGCTGCTTATTGCTGTGAGGGGCTTCGGAGCTGCATTGCAATCCATGGGGTTAGGGTGCCTGAATTTCCTTAGATTCCCAGACTGCTGGGCTGAGTGTGCTGGGACCATTTTGTCCACCTGTTAAACCCTTGTCCTTTTAAGACTTTTAAAGCACCCACCTTTCTTTTTTCCCAGGGGAGTCAGCTGTGGGGACCTGCTCACAGTCTCCATCTAGGATTTTACTTTTCCATTTCTCTAATATCCAGTACACCATGTAGTGTGTGTTTGTGCTCTCAGTGCAGAATCCTAGGGCTGGTTATTTAGTAGTCCTGTGCTTCCACTCCCTCCCCACTCTGATTCTTTTCCTCCCGCCGGTGAGCTGAGGTGGGGGGAGTGCTCGGGTCCCGCCATGTCACAGCTTTGTGTCTTACCCTTTTCGTGAGATGCTGAGTTCTCACAGATGTAGATGTAGCTTGGCTGTTGTACTGTATCTTCTGGTCTCTCTTTTAGGAATAGTTGTATTTGCTGTATTTTCAAAATATATATGGTTTTGGGAGATTTCTGCCGCCCTACTCACACCACCATCTTGAGTGCCTCTCCCTTGGATTCTTATTTCCATGCATTTCCAACATCAACTCTTCTGGTTTTGTTCTTACCCACAGTCTCAGTGAGAAATTTCCCTGCGCCATCCTGGTTCAATGGACCCTTGCCAGACAGGCAGAGACCTTGAGATGGAAGTAGAGCAGTGTAAGAGCAGGTAGAGGCTCAGGACCCAGGATTTTCTGCAGCAGAGTGGCTTCCATAGCTGAGTGCACTCCTGGGGGAGAGCCCCCACTTCTTGAGGGTGCTGCAGAGGTCTTGCTGGCATAGTTCTGCACATCAGGGGCTGAGCATTTAGTTATAACCAGGTGGGGTCTCATGCATTGTGGCATGGGTGCCTAAGGAATAGTGGCCATGGTGCCAGAGCTTAGGGACCCTCATTTGATGCCATAGAGCTTATAAAGATATGGCCCTCATGGATCAGCTGCAATACACGGTTGCCTTCAAAACAAGATAATCCAAATAGCCAAAAATAATTTCAAAGTAACTCAGATTTGTTTCATCTATTTCTTGAGCACCTGGAAATGTATAATCACTCAATAGTAGCTCTTCAAATCCTCCTTTCCCTCTCCATTCACTGCAAACACCCACAACAGGTGGTGTTCTCAAGATGTGGCACCCAAAATACTCCCTGTGCTGCCCCCTCCCCACTCACCTCCTTTCCTTTCCCTCTCTCCACGTCCTGCTGATCCTCTATCTCAAAATACCCTCCTTGGAGGGAGGAGGAAGGAAAGAGATGGAACTTTTCCCAGGTGATTACAGGCAGTAATCACTCTGGGGCAGAGTCAAAGCCCACGGTTTCCTCACCTGTCAAAGAGGAATAATAGCAAAATCCTTTGCCTAGGAGTGTTGGAGGGGATGGACAGAGAGCAGGGATATCAGAGCCCAGACAGGTGGTTTTCTGTATATGGTCCTTGTGCTATGCTGAGGCTGCCCCCAGGTCACACAGGAGCAGAAACAGGCTCATGGGTGCCACTGACCTAGATGAGAGAAAGAGCTGAGTCAGACTCTGTGCTCCTAACCAGGTAATAACCCAGGGGCTGGGAAGGAGTGGGAAGCAAGAGACGGTGGGGGTAGAGGTCTCACGGGATGAGAGGGGAAGGTGTGGAGGGAGCAAAGTTCCTAGACCACATGGGATGGTGGTGGATTCACTGTGGATCCCCACTGTCCATCAACGCTGGACAGCCCTGAGAGACTCGGGCTCCTAGTGCCCATGAGGTGGGTGGGGCAGGAGGGGAAAACCAGCCCTGACCAGGGTGAAGCTGAACAGAGGGCATTTCCCCTGAGCTGGAGTGACTGGACACAATCACAGTGACCCTCATGTGTGATACAAGGGCTATATGGTTTGCCCTTGACCTGATAATCAATGTTTGTGGTTTTTCTTTTCAATTGGTAAACTTCAGCTTTATCATTTCCCTGCTTCCAGGAAAGGGGCACGTCTTGGCCTTCAAAACCCTTCTGTGACTTTCCTGAGCTGTTTCCCTGGGACTGATATCACAGGTGTCCCTGATCCAAGATTGTCATCTGTGGCCTTGAGGAGGGAGATGAGCACAGCAAGGCTTCAGCTGGGTGGAAAAATCTTCCCTAGCCTCTGCGGGAAAGGGCAGGAGCTGTGCTAAGCATTCCTCATGGGCACAGGATACAGGGAATCAGAGAGAAGGAGGGAACAGGTTCATCTTCTCAGGTGGTGGGGAGGTAGGAAGGGCTCCACCTGGATTGGTCCTGTGCCCTGTCAACCAAATAAAAGTGATCGGCTCCTTCTTGTCTCTTTCTCCTACCATCCTCTCTGGTCATCAGGCTGGACAGAGGTTGATCATAACATATTTTCTTGTCCTTTTTTTCCCTTGAAATACAGGAATAAAACATTGCAGACAGAATGGAAGCCCCACTGGTCCTTCCCCAGGCCCTACATCCTAACCTTTTTCTAAGACAGTCTCAGCTATAAATTTGGTGAGTATCCTTTTAGCCAATAAAAATGTATTAAATATATTTTAAGAATATATATGTTAAATATATTTAATTGCCAGTTGAGGTGAGAGCAGAGGACATCAACAGACACATCCCTGCAGAGTCCTGTGGACCAGGCAAGAGCAGGCTTCTTATTTGGACAGAACCCCTGTAGTCTCTCTTTTGTGTATGAGTTGGTATCCACCAATAAGTTCATGACCCTTAGAATGGACCTAGCAGTCTGTGTGGCTAGGTATATATATATACAATTAAATATATACAAACATATTAAACATATAACAATAAATATATTAAATATATGATATACCTTTAAATATATTTTTATGAATAAAATATAACATTATTTTATGTGTTATGTAAGTATTATGTGTTACAGATGTGTATCATCTATACTTAGATGATACTATACTTAATGTTTATTTAGAGACTTACTTTTTCCATTCCATATATTTTAGAGAGCTAACCACACACACGCAAACACACACGCACACAGGTGTAGTTAAATGTCTTTCTATCGCTGTATTGAATTCTATGTTATGGATACATTACATTTTATATATCTATTCCTCTCCTGACGTTTTGATGTTTAGATTGTTCCTGGGTATTTTTGGATATACAAATGCTGCTGCCGTGAGCCTCCTGTCCAGCTCTCCTTGTGCATGTGGGTCAGGGAACCCTGCAATCACATCTCTTGGAGCTCTTTTTGGCTCTGCAGTTTTGTTTACAAACTAGAGAATCTCAGTTGCTCCCAGCATCCCAATTAGGCTGTCAGGACACCCACCTGCATTGGCCGCCTGTACTTGGACCCCCAACGACTTTTAAGGGTTGCTCTTGAACACTTTCATCTCATAATTAGAGGGGGGCATTGCACTTCCCTGAGTTGCCTATTGCTGGATTCTCAACACTTCTATACACACAGTTGACCCAGCCACAAGGCAGGAAGCAGCCAGACAGGTAAGTTTTGGTCTTGTCGATTTCTGGTCAAGCAAGATATGATGGCTGATGATGATGAGGCCATGACCTTTGTGTGGCGGGCTGGCCAACCCTGTGCGTAGAGGTGTGATCTCTCGAGAAACATGCCTCCATGCCCAGGGGCTGTCCTATTTCATTGTGCAGGTGGTGAAGCAAGCCAATGATTTTGGAAACAAAACTAACTCGTTTAAAATGTAGTGAGATTCAAGCAATGGCAGGGAAGCACCATTTGAGCCAGTCATATTCAGTCCTGCTTCCATCCTATAGTGTGCATAACCAGTTCTTACTTAAGAGCACTTCTAAGCATTTATAGCTGGTTTTCTAGGTGCCACGTGCCCTTTGCTGTTAACTTGTTGTTATGTTACATAATGGGTAGATAATGATGCCCAATCTAGAGACTAGGAGACTAAGGTCTGAAGATGCAAAATAACTTGCCTGGGGCCAGATTCTTTTAACAAAGCCTGGGACACTTATTATAATTCCTAGCTTCTAACTATTTGTATTTCTGTAAGCCAAGCAGACTGCCAGGTTCATTCTAAGGACCTGTGATGAACTTATTAGTAGATACTAACTCATACACAAGAGAAACTATGGGGGGGGGGGTGTTCTGCCCCAGAATAAGCCTGCTCTTTCCTAGGTCCGCAGGTCTCTTCAGGGATGTGTCTCTTGATAAAGTCTGCTGTCATCTTACCTGGTGAGGGCCTTCTCCCCCACCCCCACCCTGCCACTGTCAAACAGATCTTCCTTAGCACAGCTATTGTCTGCTCAGTGCTTTGCTAAAAAGTTTCCAGGGTAAGTGACAGGAAGAAAGGAATTTGTATGTACAGTTGGGGAGACAGTGGATCCATTTGATCCTTTCAGAAAACAATTTGGGAGAACCCAGAAAAGCAGGAGGCTTATTGCCATCCAGAATCTCTTACACAGGTGCAATATGTCCTTAATACCCTTGCAGCATTTCTGTTAGAGAAAAAGAAATGGGGATCAATCCAAACATTTACAGCCAGAGACTGGATAGAAAAGCACGGGACATGTTCATTTGAGAGAACGTGATACTAATAAGTGAGGACGGATGCCAGTGCATCACCGTGGGTGACCGTCTGGAACATAGAGTTGAACAAAACAGAAAGTCACAGAAAAATAAGTACAGTAGGACTGCATTTATGCAGTGTTTAGAAATCAGCAAAAACTAAACAGTATGTGTAGGGGGATCTACAAATGTAGTTAAAACTACTGAGATAAATGAGGGCATGATAAATGTCCCAGCCAGTCTGCTAGCTCCCTTTGATGGGGAGGGAAGGAAAGACTGGGGAGGGATCTTTGAGTGTTTCTACTGCAGTGTGATGTTCAAGTTCTTAAGCTGAATAATGGGTCCATAAGGATTGTTTTATTAGTTTTCCTTAAATCTTGCGTCTACTCTACCCCCCCTATATAGATACATATATTCTTAAATATAAGAATAATATACATGTGTTCCTTATTTTATAAGAAATATTTGTAATAGAAAAACACAAATAAACAGCCTCTATGAGACCCTATCTTTTTCCATAGCACGTACATTTCTCTGTCTTCATAGTCTGGCCCCTCCAGCCTTGTAACATTAGCCTATAGTAATATCACCTTGTGCCATGAACTGTTCTAAGTACTTCTGTTGTATTACTGTAGTTAATCCTAACCACAGCTCTGCCAGGCAGATACTACTGTTACCCACATTTTATGTGTAAGGAAAGAAGCCCAGAAAGGTGAAGCAACGGCTCAAGTTCATGTGGCTAGTAGATGGCTTGACCCTGCGTGGTCTGATGGAGGAGTCTCAGTACTGTTGATTTCCCCCCTAGCTTTTTGTCCTCTCTGTGTGCCTATTTATTTCATGTACATTCCCATTTTTCCTGCCCATGCCTTCATCTGTCTGGTTCTCTGATTACAATGGTCCCTCCCAACTATACGCCATGTAACACCAGGACCAGGAAATCATCAGTTAAAAAAAAGAGAGAGTGCCATGGTCAAATAAATCAAGCTGACTTGGAAGAGTGGGACCCACTCTCAGAGGAGAGCAATGGTCATCAGCTGTTAGACAATCTAAGATATCCTGGAATAAAGAAATCTGATTAATTTTGCTCAACCCACTAATTCCCAAACTGATTTGATCACAGAAGCTTTTTCCAGCTAGTAACAATATTTGCTCCTCCACTGAACCAGTGCTTCAAGGAACTCAGCTTGGAAACTACTGACGAGCATTTATCTCCTTTTTTTCCAGCCCTCATTTATTCCGCTCTCCTCTGAAATTCTACAGTCCTCCTGGTGTGTATGAAGCAGTTTGGCTCTGATTTCTATACTGATTTCTATACATTCAGTTAGTTGTAAAGATTTCTCCCTTGGGCTGGCTTTTTATTCCTCAGTAGAGGGTTAAATTCCTTGTGGGCAGGGACAAAATCTTAGGCTCCTTCTCTGTTTCTGTTTGGCCATCAGTTGTGACGACAGTGCCGGGCACTTGGTAAGTTTTCAAAACCTGGAGAAAGGAGGCAGCGATCTGAGTAACCTAGGAAGGAACACTGAATGCTTTACTGTAGGGATTGGGCATTCAAAGCCTTGTGCACAGGGCTCTCTGGATATATCCAGTCTTGTAGGAGACCCTAGCCAACCCTGCTGGATTCCGCCTCCAGCTTTATGTCCCAGCGGTAGAGTCTGTGATTTTCCTGGCTTCAGGGTATTCCTTCTGTCCAGCACACCCTCCACACTTGTATCTGAACTCCCAGATCATTAAGAACCAATTTATAGCCCTTCCTTCATGCATTTGCTGCCTTTTAGGACCAGTTCAGATTCCATTCTATCCATGAACTGGAAAAGCATATTGGTAAATACGACAAGGTTTCTCAACAATTTTTTCAAATGTTCAATTTTATAGATTTTCTGTGCCATTCCTATGCAGCAGACGTGATAAAAGATTTAGATGTTTTTCATCTTCTTTCAGTCATGAAACTGCTACTTTTATCTGAGTACTACATCTGGATTTCGTAATTAATGTTGGAAAAAAGTCAGTCTCGAACATAAAAGCACTTCATTTCCCTCACTCAGTGTTGTTTCTTCGAAAAATAAAATATTGGGTTCTCTAACATTGTTAATGGTCACCAGGTGGAATTTCTATCCCAAGAACATTTTACAAAAATTAAAGAGAACTCGGATTCAATACTTTCATAAAATGCAGCTGAGAAATCTCAATTAATGGATAAACCCAGTCTGAACAGTAGAGGGCGCTTATGTACATTAAAAACAAACTGAAAGAGCTTCAGCAGAGGAGTGACAACCATGTCACTGGTGTGTTTCCATGGGTGTGAGTGTTTTTTTATTTTAATTTTGGTATCACTAATATACAATCACATGAACAACATTATGGTTACTAGATTCTCCCCATTTTCAAGTCCCCACCACATACCCCATTACAGTCACTGTCCATCAGCGTAGTAAGATGCTATAGAATCACTACTTGTCTTCTCTGTGTTATATGGCCTTCCCCGTGCCCCTCCCTACGTTATGTATGCTAATCGTAATACCCCTTATTCCCCTTCTCCCTCCCTTCCCCCGCACTCTCCCCAGTCCCTTTCCCTTTGGCAACTGTAAGTACATTCCTGGGTTCTCTTAGTCTGCTGCTGTTTAGTTCCTTCAGTTTTTTCTTGGTTCTTATGCTCCACAGATGAGGGAAATCATTTATACTTGTCGTTCTCCACCTGGCTTATTTCACTGAGCATAATACCCTCTAGCTCCATCCATGTTGTTGCAAATGGTAGGATTTGTTTCTTTATTATATTATATATAGCTGAATAGTATTCCATTGTGTATATGTACCATATCTTTATCCATTCATCTACTGATGGACACTTAGGTCGTTTCCATATCTTGGCTATTGTAAATAGTGCTGCGATAAACATAGGGGTGCATGTCTTTTTGAAACTGGGGTCCTGCATTCTTAGGGTAAATTCCTAGGAGTGGAATTCCTGGGTCAAATGGTATTTCTATTT